AAAGAAAGAAAGAAAGAAAGAAAGAAAGAAAGAAAGAAAGAAAGAAAAGGGAAAGAAAGAAAATTCAAAAAGATCTTTTTTTTTTTTTACCTCCAAAAACCACATTTGTGTCTTGTCAAATTATTGTTGGTAAAATTCTAATTTACAAACAGTTGAAAATTAGCTAGTTTATGTACTATGATACATAAAACTACATCAAACTGTTGTATTTTGCATCAACATTCCACGTTATTTCATTTAAGTATAAACTTAAATATAACTTCTCATGAAACATTTCAGGTCATTTTTTTACTGTTCCGTCATCTTCAAGCGAAGTAAAGGTTTCCAAGCACACAGTTAATTCACCTAAACGTATGCCATGATCAAAGTTATTTGCTTGCTTAGCAGACCACCAAAACAGGGAATAATTGACCTAAGAAAACAGTGGGGTCATATCCTTTAGTCCCTTTATCTTTTACTTTTCATTTACGCTGTTGCTAGAATATTCCAGAACAGAAAACAATTATGGATTCCCTTTCACCTGAACCAAATGGACCAGAGTACAAAAGGAAAGGGTCAAGCAGAGAAAGGTAGTGAAAAGAATGTTTTTCAGAGTGTAGCTTCAGTTTGGGGACCGGATTGTCTCAAGCACGGACACAGATTAATTTCTGAAAATACTTTCCTTCTGCATACACAAACTGGGTTAGTTAGGAATAAGGAGATGTTTTCTTAAGTTAGAGCTGATAACCTTTCAAGGAATGTCTCAAAGTTAAAGCTATTTCTTTTAATCCTGTCTGAAACTTTCTGAAGTTAACCAACACAAATTTTAGTAAGAATATTGAAGAAAATGGAAACTATTTTCCATGTCAGTGTAGAACCAAGTAGGCTAGCATCACACTTAAGAGCTAGGCATGAATGATGAAAAGCCCTGATAGTCCAAATGTCCTTTATCATAACAAGAAATCTATAATCTAATATTAGCATGGAAGATCGTGTACGTTTACTGAAGGATTTTTGCATTCCCCAAAATTCCTGCTACCACAACAACCAAATAATAGCCGAAAAGCAAGAAAAATTCAGAAGACCTTGGCACTCATTCTCAACCTGCCACCAGCCTTGAGCAAGTCACTTCATCTTTCAATAGTTTCAATAAACTTGCCACTTTGAGAAACACCTTAAAATCACCTGGGTCCAAATATAATATGTGTGTCATGACCTATCTGCTGCCTACTTCCTCCGCTCTCTGTAGTGAGCCTCTGAGCCTTCCTAATGGAACATCTTGCACTGAATGTTGGTCAAAACTCCATCTACTAAGGGGATATTAGAATTGTTGATTGTAGAGGACAAAGGCAACCATTCTAGGAAAAGCAGAATATCAAGGTTTATGTGTGTGTGTGTGCGGGGGGGTAGACAATCACTCAATCCAGGCACATCTTTCTTTAGTCGATTTTAGGAAAGGCAGAATGGGGATAAGTGAATTTTTGTTTGGGGTGCTTAATGAAGGAAAATTTGAGAGATGCGTATAGAAAGTATCTGGACTAAAAGCATAGATAAGAAATAAATTATTCATAAGGGTGAGCAGATAAAATCACTTTGTATACGGGTAGGGGAAAAATTAATAAGGGGGTGAGGTGGTCCCTGCAGGTATATAGGCAGGGAATTAAGCCAGGCAATGAGATAAGATAAAAACCCAGATTGACTTCATCAGCCTGGATCAGGTTTCAGACAGTCTAAAAACAGGTTGGCTCCTGATGTATTTAAGCCCAGTTTAATTTGAAAAAAAAAAAAAAAGTTTTCTGGCATAATATGAAGAAGTGTAATTACACTGAAGCTCAATTCAGGACACTGTCGTTTCTTCCAAGAAGATGGGTTCTAGAGATAGGCTGCCTGTACTAATTTAAGGGCCTTGAGGGTCTGGCCTGGTCTCAGTCATACAGATAGAGGCCATTTGGGCTATTATCCACATGTGGTCCTGGTTGTAGGAGCCTGGGGAAGCCTGGGGGAGGGAGGGAGAAGCTTGCAGGAGTCATTTAGATTACAAGCTATCTCCAGTCCTGTTGGTAGGACTTTGATATGGCCTGGCCCAACAGATAAGGCAGATCACCAGGCTACTAATCGCTTCCATTTCTCAGCTTTTGGAAGGAAGAACTGGTTTTTCACCTTTCCTGTTGGAAAGACAACCCTCTGTACTTAACATTCCTGGATTCTCTGGAAATGTGTGGGCACAAGTACCTTTGTGCTACATCCCAGACAAAGGAGCATGCTAGCCTTCAGGAATGTGGGAGAAAACTTACCAGCACTGTACCACGTGGTCTAAGCTCTCACATTAACCACACTCTAGACAAAGGTGGAGAGATGAGATGGGGGTAGAGCTGTAGGGGCAGAGCCTTTGGAGATTTCAGTGAAGGCTCAACCTCCCAGGCTAAAAAGTTTTCCAAGCTCAGTGATATCGTCCATGACACAGCATGCTTCTTCAGAGA